ATGTGCCCCTGAAACCGGTTTCGTGAGAAGATGAAGTGACACGAACACTTCCTTATTTTCCACAAAGCGTGCACGTTTGTGTGAGGGCACGTACGTGTTTGGTTTTGCACGTCCACCCGCATGAGTCGTTCCACAACAACTTATCAAGGCCTCCATCATGTAAGACCTTCCACTCCTATTGGTTAGAAAACAATTCCTCACACGCACACACACACACACACACACACACACACACACACACACACACATCCAGAGGAGTGGTCAACATATAGCACATTCATGGTTTTACAACTCCTCAGAGAACAGAGTGATAGAGCTTATATAACGTCACAATTATCAAACTGGCCAAGAAGGAAGTTTCTGGAAGACGTGGAACACAGAATATAAAATAAACTGCTGTGGCTCTGTGCCTTGTTTGGGGCCTAGAACTTTTTTTTTTTTTAGCTTTAAAGGTTTCGGATCAGGATTCAGTGAATCTGGAGACAGTTCTGAGAGCAGGAGACGGGAAAAACAAAAGAGTTTTTGCATCGTTTTATGCAGAACTGTGTTAAAAACGGATCAAATCACTGGGTGGGACCCGGGAGAAAACTGGGCAATAATGTATGGGAACAGAGTCCAGTCTTCAGTCAGAGTAGGATTTGGTTCTTGGGTGGATGCCCTTGTTTGATTTGTTTTTCATACCTTGTTTGTTAGCTTTTTAATGTCTGCTTGGTCTCTTGTTGTTGCTTACTTGTGTATCCAGCTCGGTTTGATCTGGTTCCAGCCATTGTCCTCAGACGTCCTCTGTTACCTTTGGCTTGAAACTCGATCTCCATGTCACCACCTGGGGTGATTTCTCACCTGCACTGACCACCCCGGCACATACCAACCTCTCTTTTCTTTGCAGGTTTTTAAAAAATAAATGTTTCGGTTGCAACTGGGATAAAGAGCCCTGCGTATGGTGCCTCAAGCAGATGTTAAAACTGTAACGGTGCTGTTAAATGTGATGAATTCTTACAGAATATCCATCCATCCATCCATCCATTCTCCTCCGCTTATCCGGGGTCGGGTCGCGGGGGCAGCAGCCGGAGCAGGGAAATCCAGACTTCCCTATCCCCGGCCACTTCAGCCAGCTCCTCCGGGGGGATCCCGAGGCGTTCCCAGGCCAGCCGGGACACATAGTCCCTCCAGCGGGTCCTGGGTCTTCCTCTGGGCCTTCTCCCGGTGGGACGAGCCCGGAACACCTCCCCAGGGAGGCGACCAGGAGGCATCCTGAACAGATGCCCGAGCCACCTCAACTGGCTCCTCTCCACGTGGAGGAGCCGCGGCTCTACTCTGAGCCCCTCCCGGATGGCCGAGCTTCTCACCCTATCTCTAAGGGAGAGCCCAGCCACCCTGCGGAGGAAACTCATTTCGGCCGCTTGTATCCGCGATCTCGTTCTTTCGGTCACTACCCAAAGCTCGTGACCATAGACGAGGGTGGGAACGTAGATCGACCGATAAATTGAGAGCTTCGCCTTTAGGCTCAGCTCTCTCTTCATCACGACAGACCGGTACAGCGCCCGCATTACTGCAGACGCCGCACCGATCCGCCTATCGATCTCACGCTCCCTACCCCCGTTCGCGAACAAGACCCCGAGATACTTGAACTCCTCCACTTGGGGAAGGACGTCCGCTCCGACCCGGAGAAGGCACTCTACCCTTTTCCGGTGAGAGACCATGGTCTCGGACTTGGAGGCACTGATCCTCATCCCAGCCGCTTCGCACTCGGCTGCGAACCGCTCCAGCGAGAGCTGTAGGTCCCGACTTGATGGAGCCAACAGGACCACATCATCTGCAAAAAGCAGAGATGCGATCCTTAGGCCACCAAGACTGACACCCTCAACACCTCGGCTGCGCCTAGAAATCCTGTCCATAAAAGTTATGAACAGGACCGGAGACATAGGGCAACCTTGGCGGAGTCCAACTCCCACCGGAAACGAGTCCGACTTACTACCGGCAATGCGAACCAGACTCTGACTCCGGTCGTACAGGGACCGAACAGCCCGTAACAAAGGGCCAGGTACCCCATACTCCCGGAGCACCCCCCACAGGATACCCCGAGGGACACGGTCGAACGCCTTCTCCAAGTCCACAAAACACATGTGGACTGGTTGAGCGAACTCCCATGCACCCTCTAGGACCCCGCTGAGGGTATAGAGCTGGTCCAGCGTTCCACGGCCAGGACGAAAACCACCCTGCTCCTCCTCGATCCGAGGCTCGACTATCCGACGGACCCTCCTCTCCAGAACCGCTGAATAGACCTTCCCAGGGAGGCTTAAGAGTGTGATCCCCCTATAGTTGGAACACACCCTTCGGTCCCCCTTTTTAAATAGGGGGACCACCACCCCAGTCTGCCAATCCAGCGGGACTGCCCCTGATGTCCACGCGATGTTGCAGAGTCTCGTTAGCCAACGCAGCCCCACAACATCCAAAGCCTTGAGGAACTCCGGCCTAATCTCATCCACCCCCGGGGCCTTGCCACCGCGGAGCTTTTTGACTACCTCGGTGACTTCAGCCCCGGAGATTAGAGATCCAAACTCCGGATCCCCAGGCTCTGCCCCTCCAACGGAGG